ACCATTCGCGAAACAAAAGTAACTGGCCGATGGACGAAAGCGAGAGACGAACGAACGAACGAGGGAACGATCAAAAGCCGTGAATCGTTAAGAGACGCGGTCCTCGTAGTTTTTCCTGAACGCGACGGCATCGTAATCTCGCGGGACGATCGCTATGCAAAATGGCCCCGTATTTATAGGCGCACTTGTGCCAGCTGGCCGACCGGTGGAGGCGCCTTATGCCACGAGTAACAGGTTCGTCGGCCACTTCGTTTCGTCCGCGACGATGAACACCGCTGTTATGACGTGAAATGATCGCTCTCGTATATCAACGTTGACCTAGCCGACGCCAACGTACCGTACGCTTTTCCGAGAGGGTGAAACCAGCATTCCCCCCTACGGGACTCCGGGCATCGTTACGTCGAACCACCAGACGATGATGATGAAACGAGATTTAGTTGATATGCTGATGAGGATAACTTACCAACTGGCTTATGAAGAGAATGTGGAATTGAGATAAACGGTTTTGGACTCATTTCAAGATGTTAGTAAAATTATCCTATGGGATTCAGAGGCATGTTTCCTGGAACTTTCCTCGTCTTTCAGCTGGAAAATGTTAACTCGTCGCAATGAATTTTCAACAACTCTAACTTCATTAAAATTGACGCGTTCACTGAAGTATCATAGTCGCAGAATCTAAGCGCATAAAATAGGAATTATTGCGGTTGTATAACCGGGTAATCTTTCAAGATCTTCCGTTTACGCTAAGTCACCGAGAGTCCTCTTAAATTCAATTAAGGGAACCCCGAAAACCAGTGGAACCCGATCTCGCATCATTCTCTGCCCTTATACGTTTACGTTCGCGACACTGCTATAAAGTGTAAATGAAGCGATCTCTTGACAGCAATTCTACGAGAATTATTGTACACGAGTTAAAACGTACCCTCGGAATAATAAATCATTCCAACGTATAGTATACACGATACAGAATTCTTGAAATTCGAAATGATGTAGTCTCTGATTCGATATCAATTTTCGACCAGCAAAGTCCGTAATGCTCTGGTATGACAAGTCACGGTCTGTCCACGTGGTGTAACCGCGCAAACAGGTAGCTCAGGAGCAACAGGTTGTTGAACACGAGCTTCGATTCGACTAGCAGTAAGTCCTAGGCAAGGCCGAGTCCGAGAGACCGGCGCCGAGAAGCGCCTATTAGAAAGTCCCAATGCACCCACGGAATGCGATTGTTCGCTACGATTGTGTCTTATTTAGATTCCTGCCGCATTCCCGCGTTCCCCATCGCCTAAGCCACTGTCCTCGTTATTGTCGGCGAACCGCGATCGCCGGTTTCCGCCGACGACACTGCGTTTTCCTGACGACCCGTTTCATCGTAACGAGTTCGATCCACCGGTTTACTACGTACAGTCTCAGGAAGGGTTCCTCTTCAGGGGCTATTGTGCCACTGTTCACGAACGAGATTTTATTTTTCCTACACTACAGCCCATCCAACGAGACGAGACAGTAAATGCGTATAAATTCACAGTACACACCCCTCGACCGAAGCGTTTGAAGAACTGGAAATAACTGAGCTCCGATCCTGCATCGAGCGCGTAAATTTGTAAACATATACTGACTCGTCTCGTTGGACGGATTTTATTAAACGAATTTCAAACTGGGGTTAACTTTGAGCGCGAATCATTGGATGCAACTTCAGTTATGAACGTGAAATTTTTTGGAGAATTGTTTCAAAGGGAGGAATAATTTTTCTTTTTCTTTTATTATATCGGCGATGATGAAGTACTGTCCGGGTTACCTAATGCTCGCACAATGGCGACAACGGCGTTCCATGCACCGCGCATAAATCTCCGAACAACGGGCGTATGTGTGCCGAGCACGTTTACGAACGCCGCGTTATCGCGCGATGTATCGCGACACCACTCGCTAAATATGTTATAAATTCTCTTGTGGAACATTAGGGAATGCTTTGAATGCGCCTAATGTCGACAGTGATTTTTCTCTACTCCTCTTGACCACCCCCTTTTCGAGACTCTATGTTCGAACGAACGAATTCCTGACGATATTGGCATTCTTTGATCTATTAAAGGAACAAGAATGATTTGTAAATGGAAATAATAGGCACTTCGAGAGAATTAAAGGGACGTCATAAGATTAAGAATTACGGAACATACGTGGAAAGATTATTTACGATTGAAATGATAGATCGAAGGATTACTCGAAAAATATCTATTCTATTTTAATTTCCTAAGAGGATTCTTCAACTTTTCAGATGATATTTCTGGTAGCAACGATGCGAGAACAGGACAATTCGCAAGAAAAAGAAACAAGAATCGAAGGATACATTGTAGTCTCTCGACGATGTCCAGACGAATGATTTACTTACGAATCGTGGCCGCGAGAGATCATTTATTCGCTGCATTCTGGATGATTTAAAACTTAGACAGCTCGCGGGAAAATTTATAACGATAATACGTCGGTGGCTCGAAACGTGGCAGCGCGACAAAACGAGCAGAATCGTCCCGTAAATCATTACTTTTCGGAGATAAATGCGTGACTTATCGTTTCGTCGAGGGAACCCTTACACCTGCGCGAAATTTACATTCCTCGAGCTTTTGAAATAGCTTCTAGGATAAAAATAGTCAAGCGCCGACGTCATCGCACTCTCTCTCTTATTAAAATAATGAAATGTTTTAATAAATCAATTTTAACATCCGGTACATTTTCTTTGATTATTTCTTAACAAACCTTAACATTTCAAAAGGACGATTAATTTATTGTATTAACTAACAAATATTTTTTTTTATTCTAATAATTTCTTGTGAAATTCAATTCACATTTTGGGGGACCGGGCCCATTAGAACCTTACTTAGTTGCACCAATGTTTAAGGAAATCTATGAAACGTCCAATGAGGAAAACGCTAGAGAATAGAAGGGAAAGAAGAGATTGGTAAAGTGAAACGTTCATGGCACCCACGCGACCACCGGTCTAGATGAACTGTTTGTTGTTGCGTTTCAGTGAATTATGGCCAGGCCGTGGTCCCGTGCTACGAAGCCGCCGTATATTAACGGCTGAAAGCCAGCAAATGAGATCCGGGAAACATTACAATTACCATCGCAAACAATATTCCACTGTAGAATGGAGCCGAGAAAACGGTTATTTACAGCCCATTATACTCGTGGGACAACGGAGGGAGGTAGTGCAACTTACACCGACAGTGCACGTCTCTTTTGTAGATTAAGGGGAGGATCTTTAACACCTCGAAGATTGGTCATTTCTTTCACTGACAATTAGATTTATTCTTTATCCATTAACGCGTCGAGTGCCGCAGCGAAAATGACACTCAATTAAAAGAACTATCATTAAGCATCGCAGGGCTTAATTTTCTAATTTAAACTTTCAATTTGCTAAACCACCATGAAATTTGCCATTTCGCGAGCTTCTCGATTTTCAAAACGAACGAACCACTGTGTACCAGTTGAAGGGCAATCTCGCAAGTCCCTTGAGATTCCTCAAAGAGTCTCGCAATTATTCGCGTCATTACCGACATGAATATTCATCGAAGGAGAAAAAAGGCTGCAGAGAAAGTGAACACCAGCGATGAGATCGAACTTTTAATTAATACATTGTTTCACTTAGTTATTTCGAAACAGGGTCCAGGAAATGAATTTGAATAATGACAGAAATCCTTTCAGCGGTATCGACGCCCACGAACAAACGGAAAGTGTACAAACGGCGCCGATAATGGGCTGCAATTGCGAATCGAATGGAATGTTAATCGAAGTAACAGCTTACGATACGCGGCCACTGAAACGTCAAGTGTAATCGAGCGATTTCGCGGGCCGGTTCATAATACAAGGTATTTAGAACAGATATGAATCACGGCCTCGAGATTCAGCCGCTTCGAGCTGCTCGCGAATTTGCATCGGCAAATTGTTTTCCGTTTCACAGCTTAATCACTGCCAGGCATCGGCCATTTGTTCTCACATTTTTAATTACCGCGTTGAATGGAAGCTTAAACACGTTCAACGCTGTGGGGGTCATCTGTGAACGCCGGTACAAATTTAATATTACCGAATGACTGGAAGAAAAAGAATTAAGTAGCATTAATAATAGTTTGGTGACATAAAAATGTCATAAAATAGCGCTTAATAGAATATCCATTAAAAATGTATGTTCCCATAAATAAATAATTAAAAAATATTGCTATATCGATATACAATGATATTCACTGTTACTATGTTCCTTTTAAGAAACCATAAAACATGCGGCTCACTAATCGTCGACTTGTACTACTGATCTCACAATGCAGATATCTTTACATTAATCCAAAAGAGATCCACGGTTCAGTAATCTCTCTCCAATCGCTTTCATATTACGAATCAACGTTTAATTATGACTAAAAAAAATCTACTTCCCAGAATAAATCTCAATCAGGTTGCAGTTTCTCGAAACCACCCACGAATTCAAAGGAGGATCGCATTTTTTTAAAAAGCGATAACAGAAACGTATTCGTGACTTCGGCAAAGTCAGCGGCTTCAGGTTTGCAAAACAGATGTATCTGGTGAAACGATATCGGACGAAAGCGACGACAAGTGATTCGCGAAGACTCATAAATATGCGCGGGCTACGATAAACGATCGGGAACCGTTGCTCTCGGCCGATGGGAGACGTTAATTACAATTAGACCGATAATCGGTTGCCGCTCGTTTTCCAGGGCACCGGCCGTAAATTACCGATCTCTCCGCGGTCCCGGGACGTTTATAGGCGACGAACCTGGCCGTACCGCGAAATATCCGATGCGGACCTGGTGAACGTTCCCGAGGACGTGGCTCGATTAAAGTTACGTCTAACGACGTTGCTTGATCGGCGATCGTAAACTCGGATGCAACTGACGCGTTATGAACGCTGTGATGAAAAAAGACAATCGGTGAAATAAACCGTGTAACGAACGGGACAGTTTCGTTCTATTCCTGTGTACATAGGGAAATTTTCTGATAAGGGCCGTACTCATGAACGCAGCGGACCTTAACGTAAGGGTCCTTTTTCTCTCGAATAGCTAAGGATAATCCGAATGAATGAGGATCGTATTTTTGTTCGTTAGGGAAAAGGGGTTCGTAAATAAGAATTTCTTATGTTTATGGGATACTTGCGCTTTTAGGAGTAATTGTTATACATTTTTACGCAATGCTACGGATTCCAAGTAGTCTTGTTCGCCGAGACAATCCGTCTATGTTTTACTGCTACACAAGTTGCTTTAACGATGCTTTTTGAAGGAAAAAGAAGATATTCATAATTTCTTAATAAACTCGTTTTTAATTTCACATTAAAATAAAAATTGAAACTGCAAGTACAGAGCGGCTATAGACACCCAATGTTTACACCCATCGTTTCTATTCTAATCAAAGTTCTCTTCCGTTTGCAAATGATTTAGAAACGAAATTGAGTCCGGCAAAGAGTTGAAACGATTCCATCGCGGTCGTAAGCGAGGAGCGAAAGGCCTTTACACGAGCAACCCGTGAATTGATTTATTCGAGCGTCGCATTCCCGGACACTATCTCACGACCTTAAAAGCGGCTAAACGATTCAATTTGTAGTAATTATAATGCAACCGGGCTATGGAGCACAGAGCTGGCCGACTGGCTGGCTGGTCCGAGCGTGTGCTTTTTATTTTTCATTGCTACCACTTAAGATGCGACGAGGTTTCAACGTGTGGGCGTATGGTGGTCGCTCGAATCCACTGAACGCTCCTCGTCCCGACAATTTTCAGTTAATCTAAACGATATTGAACGTTCCAGCGACGTTAATAGTTAATAGTCTGATCATCGTCAGCTAGGAAAATCATGATGCAAAGGGTTAAGGATGACTATGATCAGACACGTTTTCAAGAAATTTTTGTTCATTATTTTCCAAGTACATCGTTATTTTTATTATTCATAATCCAAGCAATTAATACTGACATTTGTAATTAGGTAAATAAGAAAATTCCTTGTAATATAAACGATGGATTATGCAAATTTAAGCATCGTTTGTGTAATAAAACAAATTTACGATAGACGAAATGATGCGATATCCAGGCGAACTTATTACCATAACGAAAGGGTTAAAAACTTGAAAAGGCGTAATTCGCATCCGTTTCGCAGCGTTCCGCGGGGAATAACGAAAGGTGCCGCGGGTTTTCATTTACCGAAAAGAATAAAATCTCTTCCTTATTGCTGCTGGAGCGGCACGTTCACATGAGAAAGCGGCTTCCTCCGCTGGCCACGCAGGTGGTCCAACGATAATGGTAACAATAATCCTTGCGCTCATAACCCGTAAGCCGTGAAATAGTAAGCAACCGTGGTTGATTCAGTGGTCAATCGGGTGCATACACGTTTCGTTATTATCTGATGCTCGTTACATCCTTACACTCCCACGCGATCTGTACGAAAGTCGCTGAGAAACGGTGGGGAAAGATCGATAACCATTACTTATCCCACACGCCTGTTTATCGAAAAATTATAACTGCGACCCCAAGCAGAGAAATACGCGCGCGATTTACCCGGGAAAAATTGTAATTGCACAGATTCCCGTGAACGATCGCTTACCTACGACCCGTGATATCTCGTCGTTTTTCTTTTACCGAGAATTGCACGTTGGAATTCGGGAAGTTGGAGAGAATATACGGTGCCACTTAAAATCCTTCAACCCTTTCACTGCTATCGATGTCTAGAAAAGCTCGAGAAATTTCCTTGTCTAATTAATTTTACTAATCATAAATGATAGCTCGTCCAAGTTAATAATCAGAAAATATTGAAAATTTCTTATTTCTTTATAAATGGAGGAAGTAATTTCAAAAAATAAGCATTAGAAATGAATGATTACGTATGAAGTTCCATATTTCTATAGTTAATCGTCTGGAAGTCGTGAGAATATTCAATCTGCAGGGAAAATTAAAGTCGAGTTTCACTTATAACCGAAAACACTTGCCTTCCATCGTGAAAGGTAAGCGGCATGTTCGCGTGATTTACGAGCACCAGGCTCGATTTCGTCGTCGTAGCACGGACGACGTATGAATCAAGATCGGTATCGTCGGGTAGCTCTTATAAGATAACAAGCCCGACTCTTGTTACGAACAAACACAGCGTGTCGAGATGCGTAGTGGGTGGTGGTTCCGTGTGGACGAGTCTTTAAGCGTTAATTGAGACGAGAGCTGCGCGTTGGTGGTCTAAATTCTTCGCTATTCCGGGAAGCCTATTTTCAGATGTATCTACGACAATTCGCCAAGTCCAAGGAAATGGGGGGTGGAAAATGACGTACCCGAATATATTAAATTCTCTTGTTTTAGAATGCGACACAGTTTCATCGCGTACTTGCACTTCCGAGTATTCGGTTCAAACCTGACCGAGGTGAATAGGATCCTCGATTACTTTATTTCTGGATAGTTATCATAGTTTGATTGATTACATTAATAATTAACCCCTTGCCCTACAACAATTTACAATTCAAATTTGTCTAACTTGACTGGTACTTTTAATATAATCGAATTTTAAGATAAATTCTAATTATAACTTGCCCAATCAAGGATATTTCATTTTTCTTTATTCGTTTTAAAATTGTAGCAATGAATAATTATCACTGACTGACACAACTATCGAAAAAATCATAGGCGAAGGGGTTAATAACAAATTTAAAATGTTACGTGTAGCAGAAGGAATAATTTTTATATGGAAGCGCAAACTCACCAGGTGGTTTTCCTATCACGGAAGCGCGTGTAATCAGCGAAAATCTAGGCATGCCCGCGTGCGGACTGAAATCTGCCCGCGTAGTCGCCTGAGTTTCGCAGTAAAGTGGGGTCAATTAGAGACGAGGACCTCGACCGGTTCGCTCCCACACTCCGCAGAAATTTATTCCGTGACTCTAATCGAGGCCGACTGGCTTCTTCGTTGCGACCACTGGTCAGTGCTTCGTAGGAAATCTCTTCTCTCTCTATGACGCAACAACAAAAAATTTTCATTAAAATAAACAAAAATTTATAATAAAACAGGAAAAACATATTTGTATGATTTTTAAAATTATCGTCTAACGTTAAATTTAACAATATACTCATACGACATCGAAGTCCATTTCTGTCAACGAAGCAGAGTTAATAAACAATGCCAATTCTTATGCAACGTATCGAGAAAGAGACTTTACAACCGATTGTTGCATTGCATGCCGCAAGCAACTGGAATTTTATTGTCCCTTTATCTTCTTTCGTACAAACCGCATTTCATTTCCAGCCAATCTAGAGAACTCCCACGAAAAATTCGCGACACCCACACTCTACACGTAAGCAAAGTTGCTTTCCATCTATGAACACTAACACTATCGTAGACCAATTACGCGTTGCGTAGTCGATTTTTCGCCAAGGAACACGCGAGACATCCGACCGGTTGTAAATCAAACATCGATCCGCCAACGCCGTCAGCCACCGCGGTTCGACCTGTTGCATAATCAGTCTTACGTCATTCTACAATAGAACGATGCGAAAATAATTATATTTCTTCGGAGTTTTATGAATTTTTCTATGCAAATATAGTGTACCTTGAATTGAATTACATGGAGAGTGGATTAGGAGTAATAGTGCAACGAGCAGAAGATGATTCTCCATAGACAAATTGAAAATGTAGAATCTAATTTTTTTATTTTTGTACTATAAATGATTTTTCACCGTTGAAAATATTACTCAAACCATATAAACAGGTTTATCCCTTCATTTTATGAAACTATCTTCTTCTCGAGGCTCTGATGCAACGACGACACTAATCTTACAGTCAAACACTCGCATTTGCGTCATCGTATATCACAAAACACCCGATTAATTCAAAGAAAAAGAAGCATGAAAGCTCGATTTTAATAAACGGCAGAATCGATTCGATTTCATGGTCGATTACCGAGGGAACAGAAACGTCTCCGAGCACTGCGACGCGGTGCCATAGTATCCGATGATGGAAATACAAAAATCCCAGCTATGATGCGCTTCCTACCGGCTCGAGACGAGAAGGAAAAGGAAGGAACGAGGAGAAAAAGCTGTTAATGGCCGAGTTATAAATTATTAATGCGGGTATTATCCGCGTAGTCCGGCTGGAAAGCTTTTATGGGCAGCGCACAAGACGCGGCCCTCAGCTTCGTCGTTATTGTACTCTTCGGCATCGACTTTGGATAAGGTTTTACTACCTGTTCCCGTCTGTATAGGGTGGTTCTTAAAATACATGGAATTTTTATGTTTTGTTGACAGTCTTTCAATTTTTCTTAATTTTCAATGCAACATAAAAAAAAGCTTTCAGTAAATATTAACCCTTTATCATTTTTTCGACTCGCCAAGAATAGTCCATTGTATTCAATTTCTCTAAAAATAAATTTATTTAAAAATTGTAAATATTTCTTAACTACCACCCTAAATATTTATTTTCATATAAAAGCTCTTTTTCAAAATCTCATCAAAGTTATTGTATCTACATCTTCAGCCAAAAATGAAGAATACCGTGTATATTTTATCTCTGCTAACACGAAAGGAATTTCTCTGTCGTTTCTTTGAGAATGAAACGACCTGTATACCCGGACACATTGTGCTCGTGGTCTCAGCATGGTAGACCGGCCATTAACGCTTTTTGCTGGCGGCCGTGCGTGTGTCATTGACGCTGCTTTTATTGGCCCGGCGCATAACTTCCTTTAGCGTTGCTCGTTTATGAGCGAGTAATTGCACAACGATTTCGGTGCCAGTGTGTACAGTTCGGGGCACCGCGGCGGGGGAGGGTGAAAATATGGAGCATCGATAATGGCACCGGGACCACCTTGATTACCGTAATAACGCCACAAAAAGATTAGGTGTGCCGGTCAGCGCAATTTTCATGACCACCTAAAATTCCACGATGATTGCCGCGCCGAATACACGGAATTGATTCAGAGCAAGAAAGATGTCTCCACACGTGACGAACCAAATGTCCTCGAGGAAACTTTATTTAATACCTGTAACTTAAAATTTACTTATTTTTGTAAAAATCTGTACAAGCACTGCTTTAAATATAAAAGACAAGTAACTTCAAATGAACAGTTTTCTAAAAAATTCATTTTAATTAGGAGGATTTTATGCTGCTTTCTAAAACCTGTGTCTATCAATATTTTCAACGATAAATAATCAACGTCAGAGTGTTTTACATTGAATCTAAACCGAGCTGTCTTATAAGACAGGACAGAAGACAGAAAGTAAACGAATAGGAAAAGATTCAATCGTATAGGAAACATTTTCACATAGGCTATCGATGATTAAACGCGACAGCACGAGCGGCGCATTGAAAGTGATTTATTTCGTGCGTGACAGGGAGATAAATTAGTAGCGTAATTCGCTCTTCTTCTAGTTACACGTACGTAAACATTCACCGTCGTATTTCATAGTATCATCGTCTCTGGTTTGCGGAAAAGCCCGTGAGTAAATAGCCGTGTGTATCAACGCCTTCGGTGATTACACGACCAACGACGTGTTAGGCATAATTAAAGAACGATTAAGATGAGCGTTGCTCGTACTACCGCTTGAAGGTTGACTGGTTTGATTTCAAACAAGATGGATGCACCAAAGGCCTTTCCACGCTGAGTAATTAAACAGAAAAATTATGTTCCTTCTTTTAAAATTATGATTAACTTACGGATCAGAGATAGACAGCTTCTTAATTGAGTACAAGAACAATAAAGAGGATTTAGTGTGTAGTAATTTAAACGCGCGAATGCTGAGCTCATTCACTTAGACATCTAAACGAACGGAACATTAAAATGTATTTTACTCTCTGATAAAGAAATCTTCGAGTGAAAATTGATTTCAAGATTAATGCCAGTCGATAGGAAGTCTTGATGGAAAATCATTTACGTCCAATCGTTAGAAATCTGTTTGCTAGATGTTCATGATCATGCAAATTTATATTTCTTACTAAGCTAATTTATTTTTAATAAGTAATTAAATCAAATAAACACAAGTTAATCCTTTCCATTCAGAAATAATAAAAGATTCCTCTGTTCAATTATTATTTCTGAATTATCGTTTGAATATCATCATCATCTCCCTCTCGATTACTTCTTTAAATATTGTCGTAAGTTGCGATCGAAAGTTAGCCATCCGGAAAATGGGCGAGAGGAAAGTATATACCGGAATCTTGAATGCAAATGGGCCGAGCATAAGAAGGGCTAAACTACTTATTTTGGGATCTCCGGGAATGCGACGCACCCCGTGGTTCCACGGTTGACGGGTGTCGTTATTTCGGACGATGGGTCCACACTGGGGACCCCAGCTGGAGCAACCATTACATCGTCCTCGTTATTCGGTGCTAATGACGCCGCGCGAGCTGGATTTATGGTGTTGAGAGTTAAGGGCCGAGCGTATTTCGCGCGCGAAACGTGTGGGCGAGATACTCGCGTAAATCGAGCTCTTTCGGGGAAGCTTGTTCCGCTAAGTGACTTTACGACACGATTCGGGAAAAATGTGCCGCGTTCTTGACCCCGTCCCGTTCATTTTCAACCTCTCCTTTCGTTATTAATTAACACACGCGATTAGTGGAAATAATTTTATCAGATTCTTGGTCTTCCAGACAAATCAGAATTACCGAGAAAAGATTGAAATACCGATTACAACCCTTATTACAGCGAATGTCGAAGAAAATGAAGCGATTAGTCGAGGCGGTTGCCAGGCTATCGCTAAAGTTTCAAGCGCAAAAACCGAGTCGACGGGGTAAATTCCAAGGAAACGAGGAGAACCTTCGATGTTGTATCGTTGGAATTGCTCGATGAACGAGGGAAAGAAAGAAAAAAGGGGTTGGGAAGGAACGGGAAAGAAGAGGAAAGAGATAACCACCTACGAGCCGACTGGATTCCACGGAAAGACGGTCATTGATTGATTCCTAGACTTCCAGACAGACGAGTGAATCGAGCGTTTCGTTCGTTGTCGCTTCTTTTAACCTCCTTCCGCTTCTTCTTGGCCGGCGAACGGTTACCGTGCAAAAGAAAATACCGTTTTCTCGTTTGCAGTGATTCATAGCGATGGCTATGAATCGCGTTTAAAAATCTATACTCTGAATTTAACTAGTAATTAAAATTTTCTTTATTTTTCAAGTTATTAGTTTAATTTTTCTTAATTGTAATTAAGTTAATCGAGGTTTTTAATTAAAGTTCAAAAAATTAAGAGCATTCTCTGCAATTTAATAAGAAGAGACAGAAAGATTTATTAATTCCATCGACGATTAAGTGATTAATAAACAGCGAGATTTCGATATCGAGCTGGCCAGTTTCAACATCGGTTATCGAACATGCGATTCATACGCAACCATCGAGGTAATTGAATTGATCTCGGAATTATCCGTATACGGGGCGTGTTCGCGACGATTTAATCGCAAGAGAATAATCGAGGCCAATAGGAAAGCATTCCTATTGATTAATTGAGATTTCGACTTGGCTAATGAAATCGATACACGAGATACGAAATTACAGAATGGATTTCTAACGAGGATCGAACTGAATGGACATCGCGTGATTGCAAATTAAACACTACTGATAATTACAAATAGATGTATAAGAAAATCGCAGATACATTTATTATGTTGCTCCGGATGGAACCTTGGTATCTATACGAAGAAAAATATTCTAAGTTCCTAATTTTCTACGTCTCCAAAATATTGAAACTCATTTTCCACCTGTTACATCCTATAAATCTTTCTCCCAAAATATTAACACCCTGGAACTTCCGTTCTCACGGCTGTTATTCACCCTTTAAAAGTCATTCTTCCACTTGTACAAATAGTAGTCCAAAGGGGTGAAAACCCTTCGCGTCAATTGAGCGAATGAAATATTTATAGACATCCGATTGCAATCGTCCTTTTTAAACAAACATCTATCCTCGCATACGTTTAAAAAAAAAACCCTCGTGAAATGTGTCGAAATAAAAAGATTCCCTAGCAGCCAGTTCC